AAAGACTAAAGAAATAATACAAAGTATTAATGAATTGAAGAGTTGGTTCTTTGAAACAATAAATAAAATAGATAAACCCCTAGCCAACCTTATCAAAAAAAGGAAAGAAAAAACTCACATCCGTGCAATAAAGTATTAATGAATTGAAGAGTTGGTTCTTTGAAACAATAAATAAAATAGATAAACCCCTAGCCAACCTTATCACAAAAAGGAAAGAAAAAACTCACATCCGTGCAATAAGGAATGAAAGAGGTGAAACACAGCCTCAAAAAAAAAAAAAAAAAATCAAAAAGAAATCAAAAGAAAAAAAAGGAAGACAAAATGCTCGAGTTGATTTGTCCAGATAAAAACGTCTGAGTCACAAGCTACCACTCAGCAACAGGATGAGAACCCTACTTCACCCTGGCCCCTCACACTGGCTTTGGCATTCGGTGCCCAACTACAACCCCACGCGGCCGCGCTGAGCGCATTCCGGGTTCAGCGAGCCAAAGATCCAGGCGCGGGCCGGGTCTCTGGCGTCCACTAGGGACCGTGCTGGAAGCTCTCGCGGGCGACAGAGCAGGAAACGGCCCCAAGTCAGGCGGGGAGCGGGAGAGGGCACCGGGAGCCGCAGGTCGGGGCGTCACCTGTGGGCCGCGGCGCAGCTCAAGCAGGATCCCGAGGACACCGGATCGCACTGCGGGGCCCGGACCGCGGACGGGGAGGACCCGCGGAAGCCCTCAGACCCCAAACCCTGAGTGCCCCAAGTCCTAGTAAACTCGGGAGCCTCGGGCAGCACAGCCTCAGGTCCTCACCCTGCTGGATGGCTCCGCTGAACACCCCGCTTCCCTGTCCCCAGAGGACCCATGGCGCAGGCTCGACCCCTGAATTCGTCCTGCACGTCCTGGCCCGGCTGCTGCTGCTGTGGGAAGCTCTCTGGGCGGCCTGCAATGGTGAGTCACCGCGCTGCGCCCGCCACGGTTTCTGCTCACCCCTCTTCCCGGCTTCTTCCCTGGGGTCCAGGTCACCTCAGCCCTTCTCACACCTCCCCCAGGGGCTAGCAGGGAAAAAAGGGATGGAGAGGTTGTAGAGGAAGCCACCCACAGGGCTGTCAGTCAGGTGACCCATGGCCACCCCACTCCGCCCAAACTCCTGCAAAGTGCAACCTCCTAAACCTGAATGGGATCCTAAGCCACAAAGCTGAACCCACCTCAGGCCTTGCGCTGTTTCTTATAAACTCTGTCCCCCCAGAGTCAGTCCTAAGAATCTTTGCAGCAGATCACATCCCTGGCACCCCACAGCCCCAACAGCCCCATCCACCTACTTCCCTCCTGAGTCACTGTGCCCCTGTGCCCCTGCCCATCACGCCCAGACCTCAGGTATCCCATGCCTTCCCCATCTTCCAAAGCAGAAGCTGCCAGCAGGCACCTTGTGTCCCTGCCTGAGGACACACCCCACCAACACACGCCTTCTCCCTCCAAGAACCTAAAGCAGCATGGCTGGGGCTCCCTCTGCCTAGTAGGACACTGGCAGTGGCTGTAAACAGGGCATCTATAGACTTCTGCCTTTGAACCCAGGCCCTCAGCATTCCTCTTGGGGAAAGAGCACCCTAAGGTGGTTATTAATTGGGCAGGAATCCATCACTTTTCTGTCCAATATTTTCAGCTCCGCGGGCCACACCATATCTGTCTGCGCTCTGCCTTCGGTATGAGGACGGCTGGACACAACATGCCAGCGGATGGGAACCAGACTTGACCACTCTGTGTTTATCTTCCTGAAGAATCACCTTTCATATTGATTTTTTAGTCTCTCTTGTCTTCATTTCTGCTCGGATTCACTACACAAAGCTAGGTATTCTTTTGCTCACCAGGCATTTTTACCTGCTGGATACACAAGAGTCCTTCTGACTTTCCATGAAGCACAGTGCACAGGACATTCTTCTGGTGTTCACGTTGCATCCACTCTGGGGTGCGCACTTCTCTGAGCCCCCTGGTCCTTTCCTCTGCTGCATTTCTGGGAACATCTAGATCTTCTTTGTCTAGTTTTTATCTTTATGAGTACGTGTTTGCAGTACAAAATGATTGCATTCATTTCGAGGAACAGCTACCTGTACATAAGATCTATTACTTGCTTTTTCTACATTGTGCAGTGCAGGCTACCCCTTCCCACACTGACCAAAGCCAGTCTACTAGCACAGGAGTGCCCCTCCCAACAGGCAGTACAAACCCTATGAACCCTCATCATAAACTGAACCCTTGTGTCCCATGTGGATCCTGTTCTCACCCCAAAGGTCAGAGCAGCTCCACACACTTCCCATCTGCCTGCAGCCCACCTGGGTTGTTTCTGAAGACCCTCTGCCATCCTAGCAGTTTCTTCCAACAAGGTCAAGTGGTCATGAACATGGGGATTAGTCCCATGGGCTGAGGGAATGTGAACCTTCTCCTGGGACATGAGGCTGCAACCAGGGAATGTCCTTTCCCTCCTCAAACAATGAAAGAACGCCAGCTTTAGATGGGGGAGAACACCGTGTGGGAAGGAGCAGTCCTTCCCCCCAGCTCAGCCTTCAGAGATTCTCCTCCCTTCACAGATGTCATGAGATGACAAATGGATCCATTCCCTGCTCACCCCTAATCCGTCCTCATGCTTTTCCCTCACAGGCACCCTCTCTCTTTGCTATGAATTCATCATCTATCCTAAAACCCCAATTAGAAAGCAATGGTGCACAATCCCAGGTCTGCTGGATCAGAAGAATTTTCTTTACTATGACTGCGATAGTGCCAAAGCCAAATCTACGGATGTCCTTGGAGGGAAGGTTAATAGCACCAAGACCTGGGAAGACAAATCAGAAACACTGCAGGATTTGAGCAACACATTCAAATGGGAGCTGCTTGATCTTAAACTAGAGAACTGTACATCAACAGGTAAGTCACAATTCTTGCAGAGAATAACAGAGCTGGTATGGCTTTAGGAATATTTATCCTATTTGTATGGTAAGAAAACAACTGGATGATCGTCTAAGCAAAAAGTCCAGCATCAAGTTGGGGTGTGGAGGAAGAACAGGGCCAGATTAGTAGCTCAAAGGAGGTGGATATTGGGCGGGAGAAAGGATTTGTCCAGAGCTGAACCTGTTCTCTTTCCGTGGGGCAGCTGCCCTCTTGCTCCCATCATGACCTATCACCAGAAAGCTGTTGGACACTTCAGCGGGTTCTGGGAGTTGGGCTTCAAGAGACAGACTTTGCTCTGTGTAAACTTGAACTAAAAAAGTGGGCAGAGGTCCCTCCTGGATGGACGTGCATGAAAGAGAAATGGAAAACAACAGGCAGCTGCGCCTCTTCTTACACCAGACATCAGTGGATGACTGCGAGAGTTGGTGGAATGCGGTCTTGGAGCAGTGGAAGGAAACTCTGGAGACCAGAGGTAACTGGGAAGAGGAGAGGGAAGGGGTGGATCCCTTAGCATGAGATGCTCCCGTGTGTGTGTGTGTGTGTGTGTGTGTGTGTGTGTGTGTGTGTGTGTGAATACTCCATGTACAATGGTCTAGAGTGGTTTTTCCCTAGGGGACGATTCCAGGTGTATTCTTCCGAGCTTTTCTGTCTCATCTCCTAAAATCTCTTCCTCACAGCAAACACCTGCGATCCCCCAAGCTGGATTTCTGCTGACCTCCACACTGTACGCACCATTCTTTTGCCACACTTTCCCTCAAAATTACCAGCTTTTTCATCTCACCTGGCGTCTTCCTTGGACTCTTTCAAACCCACCTCACACATCAGCTCCTGAGACCATTCCCTACCACTCTCACCTGGGGTCACTTCCTCTTCTCCCACCAGCAAGGGAGGGTGGGTTACATTGTGACCATGGCTACTCAGTGCCTACGTGTATCCTTAGCCCCAGGGGCCTCCTTCTCCTCCTCTACCCACCTCAGGACCTGTCACAGTGGCTGCCACAAAGCAGAGGGGTGGCAGCTGTCTGCCCTGCTGGGTTACCTGAGGTAGCGGGAGCTAAGGAGGCAGCTCCTTGGATTTGGAGTCTGGACAAATGCTGACTCTCTCATGTTTCCACTCCAGCGCCAGCCACCACCCCACCCAGTGCCAAGGCCAACAACCTGAGTTGCAGGACCCTGCTGCTGATCCTGACCTCCGCCATCCTGTGGGCTGGAGGGGGTGCAGGCATCACAGGAGGGTTCTTCCAGTAGCAGGTACAGTGACCAGAACTGAGAGGTAGGCAGGAGGGGGAGGAGCTAGTACGGGAAAGTGAGTTCTCAGAGTCTCTGTCCCTCACTGCACCTTGAAATGGAACAGAAGAGTGAGACCTCAAGTCACGTGATAGCAGTGGCTCAGCAAGCTCAGCCCTTGGTGGGAAGAATTAACCCCTGCCATGCACACGCCAGAGGTAGAGTGTCCATACCAACATTAGGCCTGCTGTGTTCTATAGGGTTTTAGCAAAACAAAGCTGGTTCCCTCCACATTCCTTCTGGGGAGGGACCAGTGATTCAAGGTATGAACAGGGAAGGACCACAAGGAGGGAGAATGTCTATATGGGGTGATAGCATCATGGGGGCTCCACTTCATGTGTAAAGAGGAATTAAGATTCATTACCTCGATTCCTGGTGGTAAACCTGTGGCACTTCTGCCCCAGTCCCTTGTTTGTTATCACTGAAAGCTCTGAGAGGTTCACATTCACTGCCACAGAGGGAGAGGAGCGAGGCCTGGGCCAGGGAAGCCTTTCCCAAATGTACTCACAGGCTGGAGGTCAGGGCTGCACTCCCACAAGAAGAGGCTTTCTTCCCCTCAGTGGAGGTAGAAAGCTAAAAACAGGGTCTGTCCAGGATGAGGTGAGAAGGACACCAGCTCTCTGGGGGCTACAGGAAATCCAGGGTTCTCTGAGACCTTTCCTCTGGCTGCTCCTGCAGACTCCAGCTCCTGAGCCAGCTCTGCCTTCCCTGCCTACAGCAGAGTTGCATCCAGAGGCAGTAGGGTCCCAGCTGAGGCTGGAGTCCATACTCCCAGGTGGGCAGACAGGGAATGGGTGGGGTAGGGCCATGACACTGTACTCAGGCTGTTGCGTGTGACTCCCAGGTGAGGAGAGAAAAGGAGGAGGATGTCCGTCTGCGTGCACCCCCTCCAGCCCACAGGATCCAAGCCTCCAGCTCCAAATTAGACTGTCCCACCTCCCCTCCGAGTCCTCTAGTCCCTTCCATGAGAAGGGGAAGTATTCTGTGCTCAGGGACCAGGTCCCATAATGACAGTTTCAGTCCTGAGTCACTCCAGTGTTCAGTGGGGCATAGGGATAATGCTGGGACAGAGAGGAGGAGAAGGTTACACTAGGTTCCTGGGGGCATGGGTTGAGGGGGTGAGAGAGGGAAATGTATGACCCTTAGTGAGGGTCAATCTGAGGTCAGGGGACTGGGGATAGGTGCCCCAGCAGAACTGTCCCCGGTTGTCTTCAGACTCTTGGAGTAACATTTGCTTCCTTTCCAAGTTTGAAGATGCTCTGGAGAAGCTCCTGAAAATGTGATCAAGACAAATACATCTCCAGAGTGGTCGCCTGCTAAGCCACCACCTGCTGTCTATTCCTAGGCTCCAGCAAATCTTTCAGACTTGGGCTCTCCTGGCCTGCATCTCCTCTGCTGCTTCAGATTAAGGGAGGAATCAGCAGGCCTCCCACCTGCTCCTTTCAGGCCCATCGTGAGCCCACACCTTAGGGCTGTGGGAGTGGGACTCTTCTGTGGCAACTTTATCTCTCCGGACCAACAGCAGCCCATTCCTCTGCTGCTTCACTGCCTTCCAGTGCTCCTTGTCACCTCAGGGTCCAATATTTCCAGGAAGTTACCTGCACTTGAACATCTCTTGCCCTTTGTGGTATTTTGGTTATTATCACTGTGCACTTGTTCTTAATGTGTGAAGCCATTTCATCTTGGTGCTAAGCAAAGGTATTTTACCCTTAGGTTTCTAACTAAGAAGTTGGAACAAGAAGTCTGAACAAAGACAAGAATTTCTGTCTTCTGCTTTGGTGCTGTGGTCAAATGCTCCTCTGAACCAAAAATCCAGTTGTATTATTGAAAGGATACTGCCACTAAAACATATTCAATGTCACAATTTCAGCGATTCTTTGTATGTTTTTGTATTTAAGAACAATTAAATTGCTTTTACTCATTCTTTCAGTAACTTATCTTCTGACATTTAAATAAAGATCTTTATTTTGAAACAAAAAATTAGTCTGCAATTTTGTTGTATAATCCATGGGGTGCACAATTTCATGTGTCCGCCTGACTGCCTGATAGCTGGTAAAACATTATTTCTGTATGTTTTGGGGAGAGGTCTTGAAGACTTTCTCATTTGAACCACTAGACTGAGAGAATATTGCCCTCCCCACTGTGGAGAGAAATGATCTCCTTTCCAGGCCTTGATATAGCAAAGAGACAGGAAAGGCAAATTCACCCTGCTTGAGCAGGGCCACGCATGTGCTCCATTCCGCACGTATGATATTGAATGTGCTCTTCCAAGGCTTCCTAACTCAGACCAGAACTTAGGACCTTGTCCCCTATTCTTAACACTTTGCCATCAGATTGAAGTATATCACTGGCTTCCTGGTTCCTAACCCTGCGACAGCAGATCGGAGGATTCCTTTTCTGGTTGTCAGTTGAACCAAATGTGAGAACTTTACTTTTGCCCTTGGTAGTTCTATATCTACCTGAGCCACACACTATGACCGCTAGAAAGTTCACCACGAAGAAGACCTATGATTTCACTGCCCAACTCAGGCAGCAACTGTTTACCCATAAATCTAAAGTACCTACTTCTTCTCACTGACTTGGTGAAATCAGCATAATGTCCCCAGTGTAGCTCACTAGCATGGCATCTGATGGAAAGGAAAAGCAATCAAGGCCCCTTAACAATAAATAATGCCAACAGGGATGGAGATTTGACACTCCCAGAGGTAGGAAGGTGAAGGTCTATTGCTGGCCTTACAAGTGGAGAGCAAAATGCTTCTTCTGGACCTTATGGACTCAGATGGATAGATTTGTAGGTACTTACCAGGAAACAAAACTATGACTTCATTTTATTTAGAAATTAAACCATATCTGGTACAAAGACTGTCAGTGTAGTCATAACCTGGGTAAGATTAAGATAACCTATTGCACATGTCTATAATCCCAGCACTCAGGAGGCTGAGGCAGGAGGGTCATTGTGAGTTCGAGGCCAGCCTGGATTACAAAGTGACTTCAAGACCAGCCATACTGCATAGTGAGACCCTGTGTCACAAAGACAAAACAAAACAACTTATTATAATTTTTTTAAAACAACCCCATCTGTCTTCCATAAGGGCCAAAAATAAAAATGGAAAATGGCTATGATGAGACTTACACCTCTACATCTTTATACCTGTGAAGTGGCACTAATCTCTTTAATCCCTGCAGGAATATGTGTTGATTTCAATGTGTTATTTTACCAGGTAAAAGCAGGTCTCACACATTCAAATGACCCTCTCCTACCCACAAAGCTATTACTCCACAAGCAAAAGTCGAGGGGAGGTTTTATTCCAGCTGCTAACCATAGCTGTTGGTCTCTGTTTTCCAGGCTGGGGAAATGACCAGAGGCTGAGTTCAGGGAACCAGTGACAGTGAGATGGGTCTGAGCGAAAACTTCAATTCACCTAACCTCCATAGCTCATAGTGGGGGCCATGGGGAAAGTGATATTTTGGATAATCTGAAATTACTCTCAATTCAGAGCCAGTTTCCAGTGGTTCCTCAAAGATCATGATTATTGCTTTTTTTTCCATGCTCTTCCCCTGAAAGACTTCAGGTGACTATGCGAGGGTGGAGAGAAGGACTAAGAGTTGAAACTTCCAATCATGTACTCCAATATTTCCCCAATGAGATACATCTCCCCTTTATTGCAGGGATTCTGTATATTTCTTCTGGCTCAAATTAGGGATTGATTGAAGATCCATACCTCTGTTTCTATGAATCCAGTTAGATTTTTGCTCATTGGCTATACAACTCTTTTGCTTATTCATATCAGGTGATGAATTAGTAGCTCTCTGCTCTTTCTCCCTTCTAGACAATGGGCCCCCCCACACCCTAGGTCTGCATGAGTTAGATCTCTGATGCTGCCTTGACTCTCTCACCCATGACAGCAGCCACACTCTCCTTTCTGCTGGTGGCTGAAGGTCACCCCTTGGCCTCTACTACCTCAAAATCCAATGATTCTCATCACCTTTGTTTTCCCAAATCACTGCCTGAAGTTCCTGCTGTGTTATTGTCAGGGTTTCAAGGGAATGTATTCAATACAGGACATACAATTTATAGGTTTATTTTCTAATATTCATCTAAAGAGTCAAATACAAAACAGTGCAGGAGATCTGTCCACACACTGGAGACACAAGGAGTCAGCTGAGGGCCTGCATCCCACAGAAATGTCTTTCATGATCTAGAACACATTGTAATGTCCTCCACAAGTCCATCTGGAGGCCCAGCATCCACAACAATGTCTCATGCAAGTCTGTATCAAGGATCTGCTCTGGGAGGGCCCAAAGGTCAGTGGTAGAAGCTACAGAGTCTGTGCCAGCAGAATGAAGGATCTGTGCCAGCAGCCTGAGTGATCTGCACCGGAGTCGGGAAGCCATGCTCAAGGTAATGACCAGAGAGCCCTGGAAAAAACCACAGCCATCCTGAGTGACAGCGAGGACCTGAGCTCCTCCAAGGATGAGAGCAGCTGAGTTCATAACAGAAAAACAAGCATGAAAAGCTTCTCCAGGACAATCAACAGCACGCCATCTTCCTCTCTAGTTCTCTTTTTACGCTGTTGTCAACAATCCTCATGTGGGCCACCTAGTTGCAGCACCAGGCTGATTCAGTTCAGCTGGGTGCTACAAGTAGACCATTAGTTAATCCACCACAGGCTGGCAGGTATGGTCTATAAATGGTAATCACAGAGCCTTCAAGGAAGCCAGAAGCTACTCACAAACTGACTTCACTCCAGGAAGACCTGAACAGATTTATTGCTCACAGTCTTGCTGAAAGTGACGAGAGGTAATGGGAAGGTATTTCGGGTCCTCACAGTGGGGGTGAGCCGGTCTCCTATGATAAAACTCTTCTAGTAGCATTCCAGTATTCATAAGCATTTAACCTAACCTTCCACATTACACCGAGGCATCTATGAACCTTCTACTTCCCTCCCAGTGGGCCATCACTAGTAGGTGTTTAGCCAAACAGTCAAACTATTGGAGCGCTTTCAAACTCCTGAGCGGGAGCATTAAATACTGATGTCTGCTTAGTGGTTTCATATCTATAAATTTGGCCTGAACCAACTAACTTTGGATGCCATGAATATCTCACAGTTTCAGCGTCATCTCCCCCATGTTCCCTGGATTACTCTTCATACAAATAAAAAAAAAGAAAACAATTCCATTTGGGGATGAGGCCCTGCATTCAATTTAAATCAACCCACTACCACCACTAAAAAAATTTTAAAAAAAAACTCAAGTAGTTGTTTCAGAGTGCACTGCAAGAATCACACTTTATAACTCATCTCTATGCACTGGTGACCTGTGAGTCCTGAACACAGTGTGGGAAGTGGACCGCTGAGGAGTCGAGGCTCCCCTGCTTCATCACCGAGATGGCAAAGACAACTGAGACAGGGAACATGGCCATCAGATGAGGAGAAAGACCCTCCTCATGTGCATCCTGACCTCCATCCCTCAGAAAGAAAAAAGAGAGGATCGAGGTTTTGGGGTGTGTGACACTGCACTCTTAAGAGGGTAGAGGGAAGTGAAGCCAGGCTTTTACTGGTCTCTCAGATACCGATGCCCAAAGGACAATGGCCCCAAATCACAGGGGGAAGTGGGTGGCATTAGGGGTTTGGCACAGGCACAATCACCCATGGTACATGGACTGACATACAGGTGGGGCCCTTTGGGTCACTTCACGTACAAATGACCATGTTCCAGCCGCTGAGAGCACTGCAGGGATTGGTGCTGTGACATCCCACATCCCCGCTACGGCAGGAGGTAAGGCCCACTCACCACAAAGATTCAAGCCATAACACACGGACACAAAATTACCAAGGTGGCCATAGGCACAAGCCTGTCGTCACAACACCCATCTGACACGGACTCCAGGAGAAACAGAGTGCCAGACTTCTGGGGGCCACGTGCGTGGGACTTTAAGTCCTGACCCGCCCACTCATCAGCAAGTACCCATGACGCCCATCAGTAAAGCAGGACAAACTCAGCAAAAGTCCACTGTTCCATGGAAATGGAATCCATGAGTTCACACAGTGTGTGTTTGGCAAAAATCACCACCTTTGACTGGGATACAGAGGTTTACCTCAAAAGCAAGGATGACACAAATAAGCCGGACTCATCCTAGAAGAAATAGCATAAGACGCAGCATGTGTGTGACTCTTGTCAAGCAGCCTGGGCTATGCAATAGGGCGAAAATGAACCAATATCAACCAAGGGATAAGCCCCATAAGCATGTTTGACTGACAGCTCAGACTGCACCTTCCAAGTCCTGGGCTGAAGTGGCAGCTCACTGCACAGACACATTTCAGAAGCATGACACTGTGATCAGCAGGTGTCTCTTGCTGTGACAAAACATCTGGGAAAAACAACTTAAAAGAGAAAAGATTTGTTTTAGTTTCCAGTTTCAGAGGTTGCCGTCCATGGTAAGCTGGTTTCATAGTTTTAGGCCTAAGGTGAGGCAGAAACATTACAGCAGAGCATAACCATTCAGCTTACAGTGGCCAGTACGCAGACAGAAAGAGAGAGACAGGCAGAGGTAGGGGCAGAAGAAGGGGCAGAGGAGCAGAGAGGGTGAATGAGGCAGAGAGAATAAAAGAGGCAGAGGTAGAGAGTGTGAGAGAGGCAGAAAGGATAAAAAAGGGGCTGCAGGGAGAGTCAGCTGTGACAGGACTGTCACTAAAGACAGCTGTAGCCCAAGCAAATACCTTCAGGAGCTCATGGGCCTCTAATGGACCCATCTCCCCATAAGGCCTTTGTGGCAGCTAGGGAATAAAGTTATTTTGGGGAGCACTGGACCCATCTTCTCCACCACACTCTCTGGCCCCACAGAACTGAACCACAGGCAATGAGAGGTGGGGCCCTGTGTCTGGTCCCTGGTCACCTCCCTGTACTGGAGGTCTCTGAATGGGATACAAATAGATCACAGACC